TAAAGTCAAACGACTAGAAATTCTAAAATATCAAACCCTATTMGGTTTTCTTTTTTGATTGCTAGACTCGTTTGTTTAGAATTCATAACAGTTTTTTGAATCAAAATCTTTGAATAATTTAATAAAGCAATATTAATTAATTAATGAACATACTTTTATAAAATCATGTTGGATAATTAATTAAGTTAATTGATGTGCAACGCAAAATAATGACACAAATTAGAATGGTGACGTGTCACAAGTCATAAAACAATACGTTGTATGGATTTTTGATTAAAGATTTTGAAAAATTAAATCCAGCATAAGGCATAACATCCATAATCAGAAACTAACATTTAATTCAAAACAACACGTCCAATTATGCTCATTGAAATGATTAATTCATTTCGGGATTTTTTGATATACTCGTTCACATATACATATAATGAATTATATTATAAGATATTTTGATACTTCCCAAAATATTCAAACGGAAAGTAAAACGAATTAAAAACAATTCGAGTAATCGTAAAAGTTTAAATACAATTTAATATAATGTCATCATCATGAATATAGGCACGGGCATAACGTATCGGCCATTCGAATTTCGATCTGCGTACAGTGAGTGGTGAGTGCATAAAATTTTACGCATTTCGGTTAGGTGAGTTGATTATATATTATTATTATGTTTTAAACATATGTTCGGTAGACCGTCCGTTCGCTGTTTACGAAGACAACGATGATTAGCCGTTTTGAAAGAAATAACCACACATCTGTACCAATGGTATATTAATGATATAAAACAGAATACATTCTTTGTTTGTTAAACGACGACATGAATAGTGTATGTACTATGCCCTAGAGACTTACAAAGCTCGCTAAATTATCTTTGCACTATAATAATAGTTGTGTGGTTTTTTTCCGTTTGTTTGTTTTTAGTTTTCTATATAAATAGTAGTCCGAAAAACGTGGCTCACGATATAATTATCTAACACAGTATTTACATCGCAGWTTTTTGAAAAATAAATGAATTGCAATTTATGCAGATATAATAATTTAATTAAAAATTAATAAGATCCGGAAAACCGATGACTATTAGTTAYCAATCCTGTAAGGAGTATAATAACTGTCACCAGCTGTAAACTAGACGAAATAGATGCTTAGGTACATGGCATTACTATGATATTTTAATTTAATATTATAATTTGATATTTTGATCATATTACTATAATATTTAGCAATATAAATAGGCTATAGCCTAAGGTCGTTAATTTTTTTTCTGAAGGGGGGGGGTTAACTTATAACTAAACAAAGTTATAATAATACGTACGATGTACCTATAGTAAGAGTATAACAAATAGTTATTATTARAATTATCTTCAAGTACAATGTTATAAACCATAACATATACCCGACAATCTAAAAAATACACAATGTAGTTCCGTGTATGGATTTTAAAATAAAATAATATCACTATKTTTGGCTTTTGATTTCAATAATAAATYAAAATTTAAAAACGAAATTTCAWTACATTTAACCCTGTCAGATAAAATACCTGACGAGTTGATCGATAAAAGTATTGTTCACKAAAACTGTCGTAAGTTGGTACAATATTAAAAGCTACCTTACCTATCCATATCTGTATATTAGGTATATTAAAATATTATACTTACCTACCTTTAGATGTCGTACAAATCTTAATGTGTGAATCGTGTCCGACATTGTCCATAATATTATACAAGTAAAATAATGGCGTATAAGGTAGTGATCGGTTTCGCGTATGACGCTAACATATTATTATTATTAATACTATAATACTAATACTTACACATACGACATACTCGATGATGGTGCAATAATAAAAGAAAAATGAACGAAGTTTTCGTTCCACAACTGGAAAAAACCATTTTTCAGAATTTTACAGGGTGACCATTTACAAATTCTTTATCCCAATATRTATCGATACAGAAAATAATTTACGAAATTCACTTGGAATATAATGAATTTGGTATACCAATGTCTAACCAATATTTCTTCCATGAACAATTTCGGTTTCGTAGAAMAGTCGATCTACGAAAAAAGTATAGTCGATMGGTTGTTCTGCTGAAAATATTAATACTTATAATATTAAATTTTTACACTCAGTTAAATAATATTATTTTTAACAATGAGGTGTTTGAAYGAATAACACCTGAAGACTGGAAATGTGGCCAAAATCGCGTTTGTGTACGTATGTATGAAGTAATTTATTTTATAATGCGCTCATTCGAAGTGACATTATGATTCCATACGTGGAACAAACTACTTTTTCCATTGTAATTATTTTTATGCAAATCAAACAATACGACGATCGCAACGATATACAAATTATGGTAATACACGCGAGTTTACCGAAACGTGATATTCATACGGCGCGAGATTATACCTTTTCACGTGTTCCGGGTATGTGAGATAGGTAGGTACTAGGTAGTTAGGTAAATGTACGATTGAATACAAGTTTTATAATATTAACGGACTAAATTGTGTGTTTTAAGTTCATCTAAAAGTTACTTTTGAAATATACAATTGTACTTCGGCTCGTATATAATATAATCTTTATGAATAATAAAATTCTAAAAATCTCACGGGTTTCACAAAATTGTGAAAGTAGGTCATAAAATTATTATACTGTTTATATGTTATCGTTATAAAAATATTAATACTTACTAGGTACTTAACATAATACTACAACTCTCTGTTTTATTTAGTGTTGATATAGTGCGCATCACGAATTCTTCGAATAGTCATTCCATAAATTAAGATAGTGCTTGCGTCACAACTGTTATTAATATTCAAATAATAAATAGTCTTTCTGATCAATAGGAAGTATATTATAATGTTATTATTGCCAATAAAATGTCAATGTTAATAAAATTAATGTATATTAATAAGAATATAAAAGAACAGTTATCATTGTAGCACTTTATCTACTTAATATGTTATTATAATGCGTTGATTACTATAATTGGCGTATTTAAGATGATTCTTACATACTACCAATTAATCAGTTTCTATGAAACTATTCTATGAATATATTGTACTAGCTGAAACCATAAACGATCAACTTCGTAGCCCGCCAACCTCTTAAATGTCTCAAACTGTGTGTTAAATTCGTGTCTGGTGATTTTGCTAGCAGTATACTTTTATACATATATTTAGATAGATAACGGTTAAAATATACTAAGTAATAATCTTACAACGGTATTCAATTTAGTTTATCACTATGTARTTTTATTCGTTTTATCGAGAACAGTCTGAAAATTCAAATATTTGATAGAATGATATTTGGGCCTATCACTTTTAATTTAGCCAATTTTCTGCTCTAATATATCGCTGTACCAAATCTCATCGCAATCGGTCCAACCGTTTAAGAATGCATAAAGGACAAACAGACCGAAATCCATTTTTATATATATTTCTTAAGCGTGTATAGCCATTTTCTTTCGTGCTTGAGACTTTCAACCTTTTTTTGAGAAGTATAACTGCTTAGAAATGGTGTTATCATAACAAAAATACAAAAAACATATATAAGAGGTAGGATTTTTTACGGACTACAAAATGCACAGTTAACAATAATAGAAYAATGGGTAGTATGAATTATCCTTCCGTACTTATCTTTTTCACATAACTTTTAAACAGCTGATCCGATTGGGTTGAAATTGTAAATGGGTATTCCGATATAGTTTCACAGCCACGAATGAGTTAATCCTACCTAATAATCCATTTTTCTATACATTAACCACATTATTTAAGCAACATATTTAAATTTTTTTTTTCTTCTATAATATACAGTGTCCCGCGAAGATTTACCCATAGCGATATCTCCTGAAATAATAGAGATATTAAAATTCTGGTTTTTATGATAAGACTAACATGGACGAGGACCCAATTATTTCATATTTTTGTTAATTTATATTTTTTAATAAAACAGTTAAAAAATATATTTTTTATTTAATTATTTCCAAAAAAAATCGCTATAGCCATTTTGTAAAGTTTATTTTTTTGAAAATAATAACGTTTCAATATTTTACTTTCGTTAATTTCCTGTTTTTAATATTTTTTATAGTTTCAGGAAAAATTGCGATTTATTTAACACYRGAGTATTATTAAGCAAGTGAAACGATACGCCGGCCGCGTGCTCGTATGACCGGCCGAACGTTTTCARTGTGCTTAGTTATAATCATATTTTATTTTTTCAATACCAGAAAAAAATACTTAAAATCAGGAAATTCGTGAAAATAAAGTTTTGAAAGTCAATATTTTCAGAAAAATAAACTCTTAAGATTGAACGAATATTACTTTTTTCTATTGGTTTGAGACTTATAATATAGATTCACAATGCATGTCACAAAACAAAAAAAGTTTTAGATTTTAGTGCAAATCACTCTTCTATGTCACTGGTTTAAGTTTGTTGTAATTTAAATGCATTTAAATTAGAACGTCATATTAAAAAAAAAAAGTTGAGAATCACTATTCTTAATAATAATAATATTCTTGATTAGAGTATAACTGTTGTCAGTTTCATTATTATAGTTATAAACTTATAACGCTCGACACAAGACTTTGATATGATTTAGAGACAGTGGTGGTCCATAATGTCGATTATGAAAAAAAATGTATAACATGATTATGATATAATGCTATGTTAATATTTTGTGAACGTTAAATATACAAAACAAGTTTTATTTAATAAAAAAATGARAAATGAAATTAATTTGTTTTTCCCGTACACGACAGCTACCCTGCACAGTGCTCACACATTGGACAAGTAAAATCAAACTGACCTAATGAAATAATTTTATTATGAACGTCATCGGCGGACGATTGGAGCAGTCAAACCGGGATCGATACGGCGACAGTGATCCGGGACAGGGGCCGAACCGAGTGCAGGAGCAGCGTCGAACGGTKGCGGCCGTGGCCGACAAACGACTCGGTGGCCGTTGATAGAACAAACGCACGCGGGCCGCCTAACTGTGATATAGTGGCTGCATCGACAAAGACGACAGGATCATCTTGGCCGCGCTGGTCGCACCAGATCTAACGGCAAGCGTGATCGAGCAGCCGGCGGCGTGGGGGGCGCGTCAAGCAAGTGCAGCTGGTGGTGCTGCTGCTGCCAGAGCTGTCGTCGCCGTCGCCTTCGCCACAGCCGCCGGGCCGCCGACGCCGCAGCAACAGCATCCGAAGCCGGCGACGACCTGCAGCAACAGCAACAGCCACAGCCACAGCAGCAAACTGAAACCACAGAAATTATAACGTCACCGTCATCATTCGCCATAGCAGCGCCTAGACGAGTTGAGGTGACCGCCGCCACCCTGTCGTCGTCTACCGAATGCCAAGTGCCGTCGTCGTGTTCCGTTACCGCAGACACCGACCGGAAGTCGTCGTCGGTCTCGTCTGTCGTCCCGGTTGCCGGCGACCAAAACTTGCAACAACAACAACAATCGCCGCACTCCGCATCGGGGACGAAACAGCAGCAGTTGCACGACATCGAAGAGGAAGAAGACGACGATCAGCCGACGTCATCGACGGGCGGCGACCATTCGCTGATCGTCCGTGAAACCATTGGTTGCCCGTCTACGTCAGCATCGTCTGGCGCCCCGTCGGCCTCGACCACGACCTGTCCCAGGGCTGCCACGACCACGGCGACGCTGTCATCCTCGGCGCCCGCCACCGACTGGAAGCGAAAGAAAAACTTGCGCCCCAAGAGCGTGACTAACACGGTTAGTTCAGACACGTCTGGCGCCGTCGGTTCGGGTGTCCAAGAACGCGCAGCTGGCACTACGCTACCTTCGATCAACGACAACGACGACAACGACAACAACAACAACAACAGTAACGACAACAGTCAAGCGTCTACGTCTGCAGCTGCAGCGGCTGTAGCGGCAGCGGCCTCCACCGTATCTGTCACGGCCAAGATGCAAGCGGAACAGGGCAGCATCGGTGACCTGCAAAAGTACCACAAGTTCCTCCGGAATCGTAGGCACACGCTAGCCAACGTTCGGTAAGTACGTACGAGTTTTATTTTTTTATTTAATAATTACAGCCGCAACAACAGTTGTTATTGGACCATGATATTGTACAATAACAGGTTACAAATTACAATGGTTTTTAGTAAAAATACGATACGTTATATCATTAAATTATATGTCAATATTAGATTATACAGTTAAGCCAATTCTAAGTGTTAGGATCGGGACTTAGAATTTTATCGAGGTTTTCGGTCGAAGTTAGACTCTGATGTTACTGTCGCTTTAGCAATTGAAAATTATGTGTTTGACCTTAAGAATAATCTATTCGCATGTTGACATAAGCTTGGTTTCGTTCATTATCATGAGGTATTTATAAGTCAACCATGTGTGGCCGATTTGTAATCTGCTTAGTATTACTCCTTGTCGGCTGGAAATGGTATGGTTGGCCATAAAATGACTTTTTTTTTGGATCTCCAAATGTTATTAATTATTATAATATTATTATGAGCGCAGAGAGAATTTGATATTCGATGCGACTTTGCTTAAGGTGATTTCCCACTAAACCATTATTCTCAGAAAAAAAAATTAATGTTTTTTTATGTCATAAAGTGATTTTGAAAATGTTCGCGCGTAGTAATGGATGAAATTGTATAAGTTTTCTAACTGTTTTAACATGTCATATCTCTAATACTTTACTGTGATAAAATGTTGATATATCGCTTATTAACCACAAAATTCAATCAATTATAGATCCTAATTTGGAAATGGCGGTTCACGATGTCGGGGTGGGTTATGAAGTCGCCTTTATGTCGTGAACTTTTTATTTTATTGCATTGGTGAGCGATACCAATGTGTTTTCGTGGCGCGCGGTCAAACAATATTATCGATTAAATCAAAAATAAAACCATACATCGTTGGGTGATAATAACAGTTAAAGAATCGAAGAGCAAATATTTTGGAACTGTGTAGCCAGTTGAGTGTAGGTTAGAATGGGGCGTGCCGCCATCTTGTAATCGTTGAATCTTAGCGTATAAATCATTCGATTTGAATTTTTGCTACAAATTATACGCCTCGTCTAATTAAATAAAGTAAATAAGTTTCTAAATGGTACTTGTTTTTTTTTGCATTTTAATTTTAATAAAATAGATAAGAATCGTAAACGGAAAATATTTTTAATTGACTGTTTTATAAGTAGTCTAAAATGACGTGAACTTATAACTACGCGTATTTGTAAGTTAATGAAACTTACTTTGAGTAATTTTATTTCATTACGGATTCACAACGATAGTGAGGATATAATATTATGCAGAAAAAAAGTTCTGCTCACTTTTAATTTTAATTGAAATTTAAGTTTCTCTGAATAATTATGCGATTATGATATTGACAAATAATAATGCGTGATTAGTGATATTAGCTACCGTTTCTGTGGTCATTTTTTTTTTTTTATGATACGTACATTATTGTTGCTTTTGAAATACTATATCACTAATTTGTGATAAAAAGTTGGTTTTTATTCGTGAAATGTATGAAAATCAAATCTATAAAAACTTTGATCTTCAATTTAACTGTTGTACTTTTTGTAACATTGAGGTTATATTATGATATGTAATTCCTAATATCATCCTATCGATTGGGACGACGTATACATTTGCGGCTGGGTTTTACAATGTAGCATAAGTTTTTATTTCCTGCTACACTCCATAGGACTAACTACTGAATTAAAATTCTTGAACATTGACTTGATATTTGGTATATTATTAAATTAATACTTAAGTTGTATGTCATCGTTAAATAACAGCAAAGTTACGATAAGACGATATATAGTACGAAATTCGATAGTTATAGCAGTAATCTGCCTACAGTATTCTGCAGCTTACAGCTAGTTTCATACTTTATTCTGCACACGTACCTACTTTTATATAATAATATAACAAATTTTTCGTGAGGAACTTTTGAACCGTGTAAATAGTTTTATAAATCATTTTCAGTGCTGCCGTCACCATTACACACATACTCACACACCATCGTGCGCATAACAAAATCGTTCGTTTTGATTTAAAGAGACATATTGCCGTGAATAAAATAAATATCTCTATAAACTTCGTCAAACCGTAAATTAATTTATGCCGTCAAATTGAATCGTTTTCAATGGGTTTCGAACGTAGAAGAGAAAAATGTTTCAAAAATAACTGTAATAATACATCTTATATAATTTCAGATGTTTTACTGTACGTTTACACACGACACTTTGTGTTGACCTGTTGTACATAGTTTTCCTCTGACTTAAATTTTTGGGAATACATATGGGTCTACCACCTAATATAGGTAACAAAATAATCGCTAAACATTTCTCACCCGTTCCTGGTTTTTTGAACGGAAAAAAAATGTAACAAAATAATACATAAGTATAGTAATGGACATTTTATTCATAAAGGAAACTATCGAAGCTAACAACCAATCCATACTTAAAATTAAAACATTAATATATATATATATATATATATTCATTATAATTGATTATATATGTATAAAAAAAATCATCCATTGATAATATTTTTCTAAATTGAGTAATATTCATACAGTGGATGTGCCTTATTACTTGACTATAAAAATGACGATCATAAATACTTTAAGCTCTGAATAGAATATTATCTTCCCAGTTCTCCAAGGTATTAAATACATCTGCTATACATACGTGCATATTTATGTATTTTGTTAGATACTTAAGACAAGTTGACTCCAGGATTAAATCAATAAAATATGCCTACTTACTATATAATTCGTACTAAAATTTATCTCGCTGAATTCAAATAAAAATAATACGACTTATGTAGTCAATAACTACTGTAGTTAGGCATGAAAATATTTTTATAAACTAAAAAATTAACCACTTAACTAAAAATGTTTAGGTAAATAGCATCTAAAATGTTTGTGACACTACGACCACGTTGACTATAATCTACATATAACTAGAACTCATAGGACGTGACTTTTGTTTTTGATGACCATAATAAATGTTGGGGTACGTGTAGATATTATCAAAACTGTAATTATATTATTAAATTTGTGATTTTTAGGATAGGTTTTTGAGTGTTTTGTGTAATTTAACTTATACTTAATAAAATTAATTATGACGTGAGAACTGCCATATTTTTTTGTTTAGGTATGATTGAACACAATTGTATTGAAGTAATAATTTTGGTTGAAACTTTTACTACTTAAGTCAATTAAATATAATGTGGACATTAAACCGGACTAAAAACACAATAGTTAAAGGGTTTTAACACCTTAGCTACTTTATGTTTAATTCACGCGTATATTATTGACATGTAGTCAACGTAAAAACACAATTTTTGTATATATACTTTTTTTTGGAACAAAATTATAAAATCCATAGTTAACATTTGTATGGAAGTGTTATTAAATATAAAAACACAAAAAAACCTTTCAATGGAAAAACACCACCTCTAAATCCCCATCTGTAGAGTGATGTCCGGATGTGTTTGCTCACTTGTCAGCACCTGTGCACTGTGCAGGTATATTTATCTTATTCTATATTATACCGTATGCCTCTTCATATTGAAATTTCTGGCACGGGAATTTGATACAGCATAAACTCAGGGCCACCTCTTAGGTTAGGAAAAGGTTGAGGAAAGGTCCGAATACAAAAGATTCGATCGTTTTGCCTAATAGGTAATAACAATCTACTTTATATATTATAAATTATATCACGCACACTTCCCGTTTAACGTATAACTCTATAAAAAATTATACTATACGATGCATGTCTATTCTCTATCACTGTTTCTCTGTCTATCAACTGCTGACGCCTTCAAGGAAAAACTTATACATATATTTTGTTTCCACATTGTCATTGAGATGAGATATAACAGTAATAATACCTGGACAACATAATATATATGTGCCTTATTTCGTACAGAGTCAGATCTATATCAGGTGTGTTCAGCCCGCGGTCTATCTACGTCTTTATTTAATGCCCGGAAACACATTTTAAGCGCATAGCATGAAATATTTTTAAATGCATTTCAATCATTTAAAATTTAATATGTATATTGTATATGTTTTTATTATGAATTTGGAACACGATATAAAACATAATATGTGTCTCGCAGTTGCCTAAAGATATTGAAGATGCCTGCTCTATATTCTATGATAAAGTAACATAATTGTAAATACCTACTATTATTATTATCCACATTGTATACACTGTAATAAGTGTATTACCCGAATAATTTGCTATTAGCTAATTATATGTAGGTGCCTATTTTTACCACGGCCAAGGGTGATTTTAATAGATTAAAAAACCCCGTCGGTTAGGTTAGGTTAGGTTATTCGAAATATAATAATTCATTTTAAAATGCGACGATTAGTGCGGTTATTTGTTAATACAAGTATGCATATCCTTACTGTAATCGTCACCACATAAACCATTTAGATTTTAGGTGAGTCAATTTCTGTTTTTCGCTATTTTAAATATATAATTGTATGATGATTTCTTAAAATAAAATAGTCAATACAATTAAAATTAAAATTTGAATAATTTCTGCCGTGTTATTATCCGTCACATAGAATAACATTTCAAAACCTAAGATGACTAAATGTTAATCTAATATGCCCTATATAAATCTGCTCGTTCGTAATCATATTGCGTGGTTTATAATATTACCTATGTCTATAGAAATTAATGTGTTTACATCGAAATTTAGGAGTATAACACAAGATAATTTATAATTATGTTTTCAGAACTTGTGACGAGGATATATACGGGTAATAATTGTGGTTTGTGAGTTTTCAGAACTCGCTGCATCGAAACAATAAATCCATGTTCCCGTGAAAATGTGAAAACTCTGTGATTTTTGAATGATGTAGTATCTGCACATACTGGAAGCAGAGTTTGTCGGTGATAAATATACGAATTTCCTTTATCATACAATAATATTATAGTAGTTGAATGAATGGATATTTATCGTCGAAACTAAATTTTCGAAATTGCATCTTCCCTATATCGCCATATC